GCGGGTGCAGAACTCGATGCTGGCTAATGTGAGAGGGTTCGGGAGAACGCGCTCCAACAGGGACCGAAGTGAAGACCATGGAAAAGATCTGTTGGGTCCGGTATCATCATTGCCCAACCGGTCATCAATCGCTTTGGTCATTTTGAGATGGCACGTTGTCTTGAGATACTGGTGACAATAACTTTGAAGCCCCTAACTAGGGCCACCAATCGTGATACTGTTAAGTGTCTCGTTCTGACCGGACTAAGGCTTCTACGGGTCGCATCCTCATTGGTCCACCTAGCAGGTGCGGATTTTCACCCATATAATATTGAAGGGTAATATTTTTTAACTAAGATGGCTTCATATAATTAGGATTTCAACTCAAAGACCTCTATTTAAAAATAAATAATCACTTTATTACAACCCTTGTTGGTGAAGCCACGCCATTTCTAAGTCTTTTCTTCTCATCTTTTTGTTCTTTTTCTTTTTCTTTTTTCCACCTTCGGAAAAAGGTAAAAAATATTCTTAACGTATTAGAAATAGCTCAAAAATACCCCCGTTAACCTTTTGGTCTAAAATTACCCCTTACGTTTTTTTTTGGGATTCAAACATATCCCTAACTCTAACGGAACCAAAATTTGGGTTCAAACATACCCCTAACATTAACATAGGATATTTTTGAGCCATTTCTAATACGTTTAGAGAATTTTTGGCCTTTTTCTGTTCCACCTTTACTGTCACTGTTTCTATCATCTTCTCGCTTCCACCCATACGTTGTATGTTCTCTTGGCATAATTAAATTAAATAAAATTAAGCTAAGACGAGTTCTTATCAAAATGAGTATTATTTGGTAAAATATGATTTTTTTTTTCATTTCTACCAACTATATATTTATTTAGTCTGTTTGTTAATACCAAAAAATAATTAATTAATGTTAGTATCAAAAAGAAAAGTCTAACTTCTCTTCTCCAATGTCTTTTTTTATTTAATTTAACTTTGGCTCGCTTGACTATTTGATTTTAGAGGATTTTTTGAGATTTTGGGCAATAAAGTTAGTAAGGGATCCAATTCTAATTTGACTTTTATGTACTAATAATAAAAATTGTAGGCGACTCAAACTAATCATAGTGCTAAAGACAAACTAATTTTCTGAACCTAAACGACTAATATAATTCCGTAATTTAGAAGTGTCACTATTGTTGAGGTATAATAATGATAGATCTACTTCGGTTGAGATATAGACTTTTTTGTTCACTTTCATATACAAATGGGGTACAAAGAAAATCGATAAATCGCACCAAATCGATAATTCGAGTCAAACCGAAAAAAAAATTCGATATCGTTTGGTTTGGTATTAAAAAATAAAACCCGACCATAATTGGTTTGGTTTGGTTTTAACTAAAAAAGGTCAAACCGAAACCAAACTAACCCGATAGTACATTTATATAATTTTTAAAAATATTTTATACATATAAATATTTATTGTAATATAATTTATAAATATTTCTTAAACTTTTTCACAGTTTTATCTTTTAACGTATTATTTCAAATTTAGACTTAACATTCTTGAATGGTAAATAATTTTAAAGCCCATAAATGTTGTAACTCAAACAAAGTTCAAATCAATACTAATGCTAACAAAAGAAATTCAATTCAATACTAGGAATGACAATAGTGTTGGATAATTATTTTAGTTTTACATTGGTTTATAATGAAAATGCATAACTTAGTTTATCTTTTTCTTTAGTGCTTAGTTATGTAATTAATGTTAGTACTTATTAGCTATACTTATTTTAGCATGACCTATATAGTATTTTTAGATTATGTTAGTTTTTATTATGGCTTATTAATTAGCAATATTTATTTTATGTAATTTTATTATTTTATCTTTGTTATTGAATATTGTAGTGTAATGCTATGACTTATCTCATATTATTGTGTTAGTTTCTTGAAAAATACATTATATAGTTGTATTTTACTAGGACTTAAGAAATATTTGGAGTACAAGTTACATATTTTATGCTATGAAGACTTTACCGAAAAAAATCCGAAAACCCGAAAAAAAAACCCGAGAAAAATCGAGATTGAAAAATCCGACTTTGTTGGTTTGGTTTGGTTTATAAATTTAAAAATCCGACACNACTTCCTTACCTCGGGTAGGTTGAAAAAGCTGCTAAGAAGAAAAGTTTTCTTTTCTCTTGCGACCTTCCACGCCAAGGAGGGTTGAAGGGATCGATCCCAATAGCCTTTCACGAGGGGAAAGACCCATTCTTTATAGCCGTTACGAAAGCTCCCGAAGAGAAAGAGGTCTTTGCTGCTTGACTGCGTGAACCAGGTCCAGGTCTTGCTTTTCAAATGCAATGTCTTTTTCTAACGCTGCTACTTTTTTGTTTACCTTGTGTAAGGGTGTTCATAAAAAATCCGAAAAATCGAAAACAAAATCAAAACGATCAAAAAAAATATACGTTTTGGTTTGGTTTGGTTTTGGTTTGGAATTTTAAAAACCGATCAAATTTGGCTTGATTTTGGTTTTAATAAAAAATAACCAAAAAAATTGAACCAAACCGACTATAGAAATAGCTATTTCAAATTTATTTTTACACTTATATATATAGAAATAGCTATACCAAACCGACATTGCATTTATATATACTTATACAAAGTTTCTAAATTTTATGGTATATGTTAATCGTTTGCACTTTTAGTAAAATTATTTGCCTTTACATTCTAGTTTGATTGGTAGTTTTCTTTTGCTAAGTATAAGAATCCATTTCAAGTTAATCTATTTTTAATTGAGTTCTTAAATTATTCATCACTATTTGATTCAATTATCATCAATATATCTTGGTAAATGATATATTTCTTAGAGGGCAATTGATTTGATAGTGTTACGTTGAAAATGCAGTCGCCGAAATATGTGTTTCGTAGTGTATGTCTCATATTTAAGAAAAAACTGATAAATAACCGAAAAACGATAAAACCCGACATAAACCGAATCCATAAAAAATGACTTGATTGGTTTGGTTTGGTTCTAATATTTGAAAAACCGACTTGGTTTGATTTCTTTTTAAGAAAAAATCGATTCAAACTGAACCATAAACACCCCTAATCTTGTGTTTTCTTTCACAGTAAGAGCAACTATTGTCACTCGCCCCGAATAAGTATCATGTATTTACCTACCAATACGTAGGTAAATAGAAAGAAATTACCTAATATCTTTTGTTAATTGTACTAAGATTTGAACTTTGGGTTTTTGGATTTACATCGACTTTATTGATAACTAAGACACAACTTTGAGTGCGGAACTATTTATTATTTTGACGGTAACTATTTAGCTCAATAAGCTATATAATCGACCTTTGTTATATAAGAAGCAGAATCATTGTGATCCAAGTTTTCAGAAGAATAACAGTTACTATAATTTTGGTGGTTCGACGTATTATTTTGTACAGCTGGTGAAAATGTCTCATTAAAGTATATTCCTTCTTGTTGAATATCACCTCGTACTACTAATCTTGCCTTCAAACATTCCACACTGCCATCAGAATAATGTTTTGCCTTGTAAACCCATTTACAAGGGAAAGTTTTCCTCCGGGAGGGGGGGG